GAGAGAGAGAGAGAGAGAGAGAGAGAGAGAGAGAGAGAGAGAGAGAGAGAGAGAGAGAGAGCTTGGAGATGAGTTTAATACAAACTCTATGTACCAATGATCGTTTTTGAAAATATTTACAAATAAGAGCAAACGGACTTGAAAAGGTTATATAATTACAATTAATAATTCAAAATCGCTATAGAGATATAAACCTTCGAGAGTGATCAAAAATAATAAAATTCTGGAGGAAAAGTTTGAGAGAGAAAAGAAATCTAAACCTTGTGTGAAGAACAACTCTTAGACAGTGACAAAGAGAACAAATACAATATGAAAAGGCTTGCAAATATAATCGACGGTCTTCACACAATGTGAGTTGCAAATTTGTGGAAAAAATTCCTAGACTTGAAGTTTTGACCAAATGGTGACCTCTCTAATCGTAAATGTTGAGAAAATGGTGAACTAGTGAAATATTCGGAAATTAACTCACCACAATTTTGGGTTTCTCATCTCATAATTGTCGGTACTTAGTTAAGATCTAGGAAGTGAAAATGATTTATCATTCAAAGTGAATACTACCCTTACGTAATTGTATGTACATTTCTGCTTGCTCCTATGTATTTTTGTGTTGATATATATATATGTATTTAAATGTACACATTGTCTGTTTCTATCCATATATGTTATATATCGTACATGTATGCTAGAAGTCATCTAGGTGTGAAATATGTAAATTGGTCATTAATAATTCTGCAAAAATCAAGTACTCTTTTTGTCTCTCTGTGTGTGTGTGTGTATGTATATATTTTTTTTTTGTTCCAATTGCAGTTCTGTACATTCTTATGGTGTCATGTACTTCATCTTCTATCCAACTGCAATTGAAACAAAAGGACGAAACTACTGAACTGATTGGATTGGTAGAATTTGTGAATGTAGGGGTAAAACATTTATTATTTCCCAGTAGCATATCTGGCTTTCTTTTAAAGATCGAAATTAAGTGCATATTTTTTTGGTGATGCTGGGCTTTGATATGTATTAAAACCACAGGTTGTAAAGCTTCATTTATGTTCATGTAAATTGATTATTGCTTTTAGATCTTTCGCAAGTTTGCTTATTATAATCAGTTTTCATGTAAGAGAGAGAGAGAGAGAGAGAGAGAGCTTGGAGATGAGTTTAATACAAACTCTATATACCAATGATCGTTTGTGAAAATATTTACAAATAAGAGCAAACGGACTTGAAAGGGTTATATAATTACAATTAATAATTCAAAATTGTTATAGAGATATAAACCTTTGAGAGTGATCAAAAATATTAAAGTTCTGGAGGAAAAGTTCGAGAGATAAGAAAAATCCAAACCTTGTGTGAAGAACAACTCTCAGACGGTGACGAAGAGAACAAACACAATATCAAAAGGCTTGGAAATATAATCGACCGTCTTCGAACGATATGAGTTGCAAATCTGTGGAAAAATACTCAGAATTGAAGTTTTGACAAAATGGTGAACTCTCTAATCGTAAATGTTGAGAAAATGGAGAACTCATGAAATATTCGGACATTAACTCGCTACAATTGTAGGTTTCTCTTCTCATAACCGTTGGTACTTAGTCTTAATCTAGGTAGTGAAAATAATTTGTCATTCAAAGTGAATACTATTACGTAATTGTATATACATTTCTGCTTGCTCCTATGTATTTTTGTGTTGATATATATGTATTTAAATGTATACATTGTCTGTTTCTGTCCATGCATCTTATATATCGTACATGTATACTAGAGTCTTCTAGGTGTGAAATATGTAAATTGGTCATTAATAATTCTGCAAAAATCAAGTACTCTTTTTGTATGTGCGTCTGTGTATATATTTGTTTTGTTCCAATTGCAATTGGATAGAAGAAGGAGTACATAATACCATAAAATGTACGGATAAGTAAGCTCCATCATATTCATTTATTACTAGTAGGTTGAATAACATTGAAATTAGTGATGTTTTGTAACCCATTATTGTCAACTATTTTTGTAAGTGTAACATGACTCCTATTATAATGACTTGTGCTTATATGCAACTAACGAAACATCCATTTTCCCTAATTTTTTTTTTTTTTTGTGCTTTATAACTGTCTATGTGTCAATTAATGATTAGGCATTATAAATATCATTATATATCTTCATTTAAGATATAAAATCATTAATGGACACCTGGATTATTACTAGTAGTTTGAATATCATTGAAATTTTACCAAGACTTGTTTCCCTACAATTTTTTCTTGTACTAGCTGTCATGCTGCCATCGGCACTTGATTGTTTGTTTTATTGTTATAATCCCGAGTTGGTTTATTTGAATATTTCATATTCATTTCCCTTCATTCTCACGGCTTATACTCTCTTTAAATCAACTTTTTTCTCAGAGTCAAGGAATGAAGACGTCACTCAATATGGAAAATGTGGAAGAGATAATTAATAACTTGAGCTTAATATGAGTGAAATTTGCATCAATAACAGCGGTGGATCGAGTCTTTACTTCTTTCTTTCTTTTTTTTTTTCCTAGAACACAAGCTGTTTTACCAAAAAATTGCTTTAGTACTCTGATTGTGGTTCTTTTGATTTTTTTTAAAACTATCTTAGTTATATTCTTTATTTCTGTCACTTTCTTAAATAAAATTGGAATAATGGTAATTATTAAATTACATGAAGCAATTTTTCAATAAAGCGCAACTTATGTTTTAGTAAAAGTTGAGACTTGATCAACCGCTCTTATTGACACAAATTTCACTCACATTGAGCTTAAGTTGTTGATCATCTCTTCCACCTTTTCCATATGGAGTGACGTCTTCATTCATTGACTCTGAGAAAAAAGTTGATTTAGAAACAGAAAGTATAAGCCGTGAGAATGAAGAGAAATGAATATGAAATGTTCAAATAAATTAACTAGTGATTATAACAACAAAACAAACAATCAAGTGTTGATGACAACATGATAGCAGGTACAAGAAAAAATTGGAGGGAAACAAGTTTAGGTAAAATTTCAATACTATTCAACCTACTAGTAATAATCTATGTGCCCATTAATTATTATATATCTTAAATAAAGATATATAATGTAATGTCTAATTATTAATCGACACATAGACAGCTATAAAGCACAAAACAAAATTAGGGAAAATGGATATTACGTTAATTGCATATAAGCACATGGCTCCTATTACAATGACTTGTGCTTTTACGCAACTAACTTAGCATCCATTTTCTCTATTAAAAAAAACTTGTGCTTTATACATGTCTATGTGTCAATTAATGATTATACATTATAAATACTATTATATATATTTATTTAAGATATACAATCATTAATGGACACCTAAATTATTATTAGTAAGTTGAATAGCATTGAAATCAGTGGCGTTTTGTAACCCACTTTTGTCAACAATTTTTGTAAGTGTAACATGGCTCCTATTACAATGACTTGTGCTTATATGCAACTAACGTGACATCAATTTTCCCTAATTTTTTTTGTGTTTCATACATGTTTGTGTATTAATTAATGATTAGATATTATAAATAACATTATATATCTTCATTTAAGATATACAATCATTAATGGACACCTAGATTATTACTAGTAGGTTGAATAATATTGAAATTTTACCCAAACTTGTTTCCCTCCAATTTTTTTCTGTACCAGCTATCATGCTACCATCAGCACATGATTGTTTGTTTTATTTTTATAATCCCGAGTTAATTTATTTGAATATTTCATATTCATTTCCCTTCATTCTCACGGCTTATACTTTTTCTTTCTAAATCAACTTTTTTCTCAAAGTCAAGGAATGAAGACACCACTCAATATGGAAAAAGTGGAAGAGATAATCAAAAACTTGAGCTCAATATGAGTAAAATTTGCATCAATAACAATGGTGGATTGAGTCTTTGCTTTTTCTTTTCTTTTTTTACTAAAACACAAGTTGTTTTACTGAAAAATTGCTTCAGTACTCTGATTGTGGTTCTTTTGATTTTTTTTCTTTTTTTTTTTAACTATTTTAGTTATATTCTTCATTTTCTATCACTTTCTTAAATAAAATTGGAATAATGGTAACTATAAATTAAATAAAAAAAATTTCAATAAAATAACTTATGTTTTAGTAACAAAGAAACTCGTTCAACCGCTCTTATTGTTGCAAATTTCACTCACATTGAGTTCAAGTTGTTGATTATCGCTTCCACTTTTTCCATGTTGAGTGACGTCTTCATTCTTTACATTAAGCGGAAAAAGATGCATTATATGTACACATGAGAATTGAATATTTCTATTATTTCAAATTTCCATGTTACTTCGTTTAAATAGCTTCTTAATTCTAACTAACTAAAGTGCGTGAACCAACACTTGTGTTTGGCCCATGTGTGGGGATCGTGGCCTAGTGTTATGGGATTGATACTCGCTCGAATGTTTTTCTGTGTCAAAACAAGGGAGGAAAGTAAAGATTCACTTTGCAGTAACCGATTTTTGCATCTTATGGGTCTTTGCTAGATTAATGATCTATTAGATTGTCCAGGCTTTGGATTATCTCCTTCAATTGTTTGGCGAATTAATAGCTGCTATGACCACCAAATATTGTTCTTTCCACTCGCAATGATTATTTTTCTAATTTTTGTTGTCTGCCCATTCATATGCAGCTTGCAGCATTGTGGCCTAGTGGGATCATGGATACCCATTTCATTAAACGTGCTATATGTAGAGCAAAAGAAAGGAGAAAGGCAATAAGCAGCAGCCAACAAAAGGTATGGATATCATCTTTATTAACTTTACTATGATTTTCATGTTTACATTATCAGGTCTATCAAATTTGAAAGCTTTCACTTCTTCATATGTATTTAGGACCATAATTATGTGCATGCTTATGTTGGTCGTTGGAGATGCTATATTTATTGTATATGAGGATCTATCCCTTTCTAATAATGAAATTAATACATCCATAGAAAATATTGATACCGTGGTTTGACAGTCTCTTTCTGCTTTATCATTTATCTCTCTCTCTCTCTCTGAGTGAGGCTAGGGCAACTGCAATGCTATTTTTTTTTATTTTTTTTTGGGAATCTTAGATTCATCAAATGACATTAATTACTGTAAGCATTTGCGCACCTTTTATAATTATCAGTTTTCCTTAACTTTTTTGGGCGTAGATGTTAACCCATGTGCAATATCTACACTTGCACAATCAACTTGCACAGAAAACACACATAGCAGAAAGTGGTTATCCCGCATTAAATGTTTATCATCGTTTGTGGCTTTTGTTAATGAAAATTACACATCGACTTATCCAGGAAAATATTACTTTTGCAAAGCTAAATTTATTAATCCAATTTTTACACGAGCAGAAGTAATTCACCTTCATACATGGGAGTTCAATTATAAGGCTTGGAACAAACATATATGCATGCCGTCCTAGATAGTGGCACGACATGAGGAATTTAGACATGAAATACAGGGCAGACAATGTGGGAGTTCCGTTTCTACTAAAAATTGAGATATGTTGTAATAACGTCTTAACTTCGATAACATTATTATGTATCAGTATTGTCTCATATGATTTATTACTGTTAAAATATCTAGCCAACTGGAGGTGGGCTATTAGGTGCTGGAAATTGTGATATATGATATTTGAAACGGCATTTATGCCTTACAAAATAATAGTTCTTCTTCTTCATGTTATGTTTTTTCTTTTTTCTTTTTTTTTTCCTTTTTTCACACCACTGATTCGATCTTCCACTAGATAATAGCTGAATCATCCATTGTTTATAATTTGCATGCATTAATTGTATGTTGCTACGAAGCACCGGCAGAAAACAATAGTATAATGAACAAGATTTTAACTTTTTTCTTCATCGATACAGTCCAATTTTATTGAATTCTCACGACCAAACATGCTGTAATGGTTTATACTTGATCTTGGAACAATAATTTAAGTCCACTTGTGCTTAGGAGCAAGAGAAGAAGAAGAAGAAGTTGTTAGCACCAAAAGCAGACGAGCCTGTTCAAGGGAAAGCTAGTAACATTTCTCAGCCATCTCATGTGCAAGAGACATTGGTGCCAAATTCTCGTGATTACAGTTCAAGTCTGATCAACAAGCTAGTTCACAGTGCTGCAGTAGCTAACTCACCTGTTCGCGTGCCTACTACCTTTGCAAATGGTCTTAACTCGGACATGCCAAAACTGGAGAAAACCAAAGGACAGCCAAACATATTGAAAGATGAAGCACGAGAAGAGGAAGCTGAAGAACTGAGAAAATGTTCTAGCGTCCCTGTCAACTATCTTGCCTGATCATCCACAACCTTTGTTGATTGTGCAATAGAAGAACCTTGAAGAATGCATGCTGGATGGACCGATTAATTGCACATGGATTCTGTTAGGATATAAGGATATTCTTTTGTAATTATCACTCCATTAGAACCACATTTTATTCCCTTTGTCTCCCAGTTGTAGTGTATATATATGTGATGTAATTTGAGCTATCAATAATAAGAAGAAGCAAATTTATACTCTATCTTCATTTCTTATAATTTCTTTATCTCAAAATTTACATGGTATCAGAGCCTTATGGATGAATTAGATAATCAATCATCAAATCTCCCACAAAACACTGACCAAAATGAGAATTCCAAGTATCACGATCCAACTCACTTCAGTAGCCCATACTATATTGGAAACAATGATGGGACTGGATCTATCCTGGTTACTCATATACTAGATGCAAACAATTATCACTCATAGGCGAGGTCGATGAGAAGAGCTCTCAGAATAAAGAACAAGTTTGGATTTATAGATGGCAGCATTCAAGAACCGTAGAAAGCCAATGACCCACTGATGGAACACCGGCTCAGATGTAATGATATTGTGATCACTGGCTCCAAAACACCATGGCAGTAGACATCAAATGCATCACCACGTATGCTGAGACCGCTTATCAGTTGTGGCAGGAGCTGGAGCAGCATTTTGCACAGCAGAACGCTCCTAGAATTTTCGAAATCAAGCAGGCTGTCACGACTCAATCTTAAAATCAGGATGCTGTAAGTGTGTATTTTTTGAAATTCAAAACTCTACTTGATGAACTGATGAATTATGAGTCTATCCCTAACTGCACCTATGGAGCTCTGAAGACAGTGGTGGAAAACTAGAATCACGATTGGGTAATGAAGTTCCTAATGGAGTTAGATGAGTCTTACAAGGCCATCAAAGCTCAAGTTCTTTTGAACAAACCTTTTCCTTCTTTGAATGAAGTCTATTCTATAATCCAACAAGAAGAGAAAAGAAGGCAAATCTCAAATGATGGTGCTGTCATGAAACAATGGCATTGCTGGCTAAAGAGAATTTTAAGAATAATGGCAGACAGAGTTTCTTTTCACAAAGGAGAGAAGATACTATTGTACCTATTGTAAGGTTCCAGGCCATTCGCTTGAGAAATGCCTCAAGGATCCTAATAAGCCCATATGCTCACACTGTAAGATGCCAGGCCATACAGTAAGCAAATGCTTCAAGTTACATGGATATCCACCCAGCCAAAAATTCAAGGGTAAGGGCAGATATACACCAACAGCAAACCAAGTTTCCATGAATTAGGAACTGCAGATCAGTAAGCCAAATATGTCTCTCACTCAAGAGGAATACTCTCATTTGATGGCCCTTCTTAAATCATCAACAAATCAGAACATAACTCTTTTAGCAAACCAAGTTCAAAGCATTGCTAACACAGACTCAGGCAATGCCCTTTCAAAAATTTCTGATGTATCACTCTGTTTATCCACTTTTAATTCTACAAAGTTCTGTAATTCTGCTACTTCTTGGATCCTGGATACAGGGGCTACGGATCATATGATCTGCAACCCATCGTATCTCTCCTCAATCAAATCCAAAACCAGCTGCTCAGTGAGCTTGCCAAATGGAATCACTGTCCTAGTAACCTGTGTTGGGACTACACATGTCATAAACACATTAGTTCTTCATGACGTCTTATGTGTTCCTTCATTATCTTTCAATCTCATATCTGTTAAGAAACTAACCCAATCACTGAATAGCTGCATAGTTTTTCTCCTAACATTTGTTTTATTCAGGACCTTTCGACTTGGACAACGACTGAGATGGGTGAAGTAGAATTTGGCCTGTACTAAGTCTCACCTTCAGTAGAATCCCCTATGGCTCTTCAGGAAACCTTGAAACTTCTAGCTGGCAATTCCCTCCTTACAGCATCTGCAATCAATCACGATAATCATCTTGACATTTGGCATTACAGAATGGGACATCCATCCCATTAAGTCCTTACCTTTGAAGACACTATACCTAAGTTAAATTCTCATAATAAACCATGCCCAGTGTGTCCTTTAGCAAAATTACATAGGCTTCCCTTTCCTGTTAGTCATCACAAATCTGAGAAATGTTTTGATTTAATACATTGTGACATATGGGGACCTTGCAACGAAATTAGCTATGATGGTTCGCGATATTTTCTAACTATTGTAGACGATCACACTAGACGCACTTGGATATACATGCTGAGATTAAAATCTGAGGCCTCCAGTACTTTGCAAAACTTTTATAAATTGATAGAAACTCAATTCCAAAGCAAAATCAAAGTCATAAGGAGTGACAATGGGGCAGAATTTAACATGAAACATTTTTACCTTGAAAAGGGGATCATTCATCAGAAATCTTGCGTTGAAACCCCTTAAGAAAATGCTATTGTTGAGAGGAAACATCAGCATATATTGAACCTTGCAAGGGCTCTAAGATTTCAGAGTAACATTCCTTTAAAATACTGGAGTGATTGCATTCTAACAGCTTTTTATTTAATAAACAGAACTCCTTCAGCTCTTCTGAACTACAAAAGTCCTTTTAAAATGCTATTTCGAACTAAACCTATCTATTCCCACCTTAAGATTTTAGGTTGCCTTGCATACTCCACAACTCTCACAAATGGCAGGCACAAGTTTGATTCTAGAGCCAAGAGATGCATCTTCTTGGGTTATCCATTTAGTGTTAAAAGCTAAAAATTACTTGTTTTGGAGACAAATAAAGTGTTTATATTAAGGAATGTAGTATTCCATGAAACCACCTTTCCATACAAAGAAACTAAGAGCGCAGATATACACATTGCACCAGACATCACCGATCTATGCTTTCCTCAAAACCTGTCACTTCAATCCCAACTAATCTTTATAACCAAGGAGAAAATCAACCTGAACAAAACCTTAATTCTGCAGAACCCACAGAGCAAAATAACTCTCAAATTGATCCAATCACAGACCAAGCCATACCTGAGAACAATCAGACCACAGCTTACCTGCCTAGAAGGTCCACAAGAATTCGAAAAGTCGCTCCAAGACTACATGATTGTATATGTCAACGGGCTAGTTTGCTTCTCCCATTGCAGGCATTGAACAAGAAGAAAAGTTCTACTCCTTCAGGTAATCCATATCCTCTTCACTCCACTATATCATATGAAAAATTATCTGCACCCTACGAAGCTTTTATCTCCTGCTTAACTCGACAAAGTGAACCAAAAACATACCAAGAGGCTATTACATCTTCTGATTGGTGTAAGGCTATGAAAAATGAGATTATAGCTCTTGAGTTGAATGATATATGGACCATAGTTGATCGGTCACCTGGTAAGAAGACAATTGGGTGCAAATGATCTACAAAATAAAATTTAATGCTGATGGAAGTGTGGAGAGACACAAAGCTAGGCTGGTGGCAAAGGGATACATCCAGCAGGAAGGCCTAAACTACCATGAAACGTTTTCACCGGTGGCAAAGCTTGTTACTATTAGGACTTTACTTGCAGTTGCAGCTATAAATGGATAGCTTCTCTGTCAATTGGATGTAAACAATGCTTTCCTACATGGAGACTTGGAGAAGAAGGTGTACATGGAGTTACCTCTAGGCTATGACAGTACTGATGGTTTAAAAGTATGCAAACTTCGTAAGAGTTTATATGGACTCAAACAGGCTTCGCGACAATGGTACTCAAAGTTGTCAATTTTATCCTGCAACATGGTTTTACTCAGTCAAAAGCTGACTATAGCCTGTTTGTTAGGTCTACTTCAGACTCATTTATTGCTGTTTTAGTTTATGTCGATGACAATTATTGCTGGAAATTGTTTGGAAACCATAAATAGTCTCAAAATGGCACTTGATACAGTGTTCAAGATCAAAGACTTGGGAAAACTGAATTACTTCTTGGGCATTGAAGTAGCTAGATCGAAACAGGGGATCCACATTTGCCAAAGAAAGTATGCACTCGATATTCTAGCAGATTTGGGTACCATAGGGTCATCTCCAGCCAAGATTCCACTTGATCAAAACGTCAAATTATCAAAAGAAGAAGGAAAATTGCTTGCTGATCCATCCATATACAGATAGCTGGTGGGATATTTGTTATATTTGACTATCACTAGACCATATATATCTTACTGAGTTCAGCTCTTGAGCCAATACATGAATCAACCAAGAATACCTCATCTCAATGCAGCACATAAAGTGCTTAGATACCTTAAGAGAACTCCAGGACAGGGGCTGTTCTACCCTTCTACCTCTCAACTGCAACTAAAAGGATACTCTGACTCAGATTGGGGAAGTTGCCCAGACAGTAGGAGGTCAGTCACTAGGTATTGTGTATCAATTAGATCATCCTTAATATCCTGGAAGTCGAAGAAACAGAATATAGTGTCAAGATCATCCTCTGAAGCTGAATATAGAGCAATGACAAGTGTTTGTTGTGAACTAACCTGGTTAAGATATTTTTTTAAAGATTTACAAATCAAACATGCTCAACCAGGCAACCTATATTGTGACAATAAGTCAGCCATTTACATTGCCACGAACCCCATTTTCCATGAGAGAATGAAATACATAGAAATTGATTGTCATCTCATTAGGGACAAGATACAAGTTGGGGAAATCGTTGCTGAAGATGTGCATACTGGATCTCAAGTTGCGGACGTTTAAACTAAAGCTTTAAATTCTGCAAATTTCTATCACCACATGGACAAGATGGGAGTAGCAAGTATCTACTCTCCATCTTACAGGCGGCTATTGAAAGATGAAGCACGAGAAGATGAAGCTGAAGAACTGAGAAAATGATATGGCGTCCCTGTCAACTATCCTGCCTGATCATCCACAACCTTTGCTGATTGTGCAGTAGAACAACCTAGAAGAATGCATGTTGGATGGACCGATTAATTGCACATGGATTCTGTTAGGATATGAGGATATTCTTTTGAAATTATCACTCCATTATAACCACATTTTATTCCCTTTGTCTCCCA